GAAATGGCTTCTTATCTACTCTTCAGTGCAGTGCTCACAAACATCCCAGACAACACCTAGACCTATCTCACTGCATGAGTATTTGGGAATGAGGTGCTGAACTGTGTCCTTACACATCTGAGTTCTCACAAATTGCCTCTATATCTGACCTTTTAGGCATATTTTTTGGACACAGTCTCTAAAGTGCTGCCTACTAGGGCACAGGATTTTGTAATCTGACTACTGCAGTTACTTTTACCTCAGTGTTGACCCTCTAGGTTTCCGCATGTTTTTCAAAGTGTGACTTTTCCAGGGTCTGCTTTTGTGTTACTAGATTTCCTCCCTCCTTCACTAGCAGCTTAGTGAACCTTTGAGGCAAAGAGGGTAAAGTCATTGCAAAGACACTTTTAATCAATGCATATGATTTATTCATAGGATCACAGGATAACTCAGCTGGCAGGGACCTGGGGAGGTCTCCAGTCCCAGTCCCTGTCCAGAGCAGGCTCAGCCAGGATGTCAGACCAGGCTGCTCAGGGCTTCATCCATTTGGGGCATGAAGCCCCCAAAGGCTGGAGAGATCCTGCCCTCCCCAGTCCCTGGCTCCACTGCTGGGCTGTCCTCCTGGGGAAAAGGCTTCTGCTTATCTCCAGCCTGAGTCTCCAATGTTTTGGCTATGTGCTGCTGCCTCTTGACCTCCAACCGCACGCCACTGTGAAAAGCCCGGCTGTGCCTCCTCCATCCCGTTCCGTCAGTGCTAGGAATGCTGTTGGGTGCATCCAAAACCATCCCTCCTCCCAGCTGAACCATCTCCGGTCCCACAGCCTCTTCTTGGAGGGCAGGGGCTCCAGCCCCGCCATCTGTCACCAGGATGGTCACTCTCCGCTGAAGTCTGTCCAGTTTGATGGTGTGTCTTCTGTGTTGGGAACCCAAAATGGAGGCAGTATCAGAGAGAGTCTGACAAGCATCAAGCAGAGGGGACAGTCCCTGCCCTCCCCTGGCTCTTGGGGCCATGTCCTGCTCACACCACCACAGGCACTGCTGGCCCTCATGGCTGCATGGGCACACAGGTGGTCCTGGCTCAGCTTGCTGCCCACCAGCACCCAGGACCATGCCCCAGAGCTGCCCCCTCCCCAGGGCTGCATGTGCCCTCCATCACCTGCTGTGGGTTGCTGGTGGAGATGCTGAGCAGGACAGGCCTTACAGAGACCCTGTGGAACCCTGCTTGATGCCAGCCTCCTGGCAGCATCTGACCCAACAACTACCACCCTGTGAGCCCACCAACCAACCAGGTCCACACCTGCCGATGTGTCCTCCCTCTGAGACCGTAATGTCATAGCCCAGATACAAGAATGCTGAGGGAGACAGTGTTGAAAACCTGGCAACAGCAGAGGTAGGTGGCATTTGCTGCTCTCCTGTCGCAGAAGGCAGTCAGGTAGGTCAGCCATGATTAATCCTTACTAAATCCTTGCTGACTACTCCTGTCGCTGTCTTTTCCTGCTGTGCCTAGACTCCAGGAGGTCTTGCTCCATCATTTTACCAGGGACTGACAGGAGACTGGCTGGCCTGTTGCTCCTCAGGTTTTCTTTTGCCCTTTTTTGAAGGTAGGTGTGATGTTTGCCTTTCTCTAGTTGTAGGGGACCTCCCTGATCTCCATGACCTATGAATGCTGATGGAGAGCAGCTGCGCGAGGACATCAGCCACCTCCCTCAGCCCCTTGGGGTGCGGCCTGACGGGTCCCAGGGACATGTGTGGATCAGGTGCTCCTGAGCAATCCCGACTGGTAGCTGGTAGCTCCTCTCTTCCTTGAGCCCTGTCACTATGCACACAGCACAAAACTGTGCAGAAGAAAAACCAAACAGCTGTATGTAATGTTCTGCTTTGGTTTCCTCAACCTTCCTGAGAGCCTCTTAGTCTTGGCTTTTGACCTCCCAGGTAGCTCAGAAGTCCTTAGCACCTTGTCCATTCAGGCTAGGGAGGGCGAGGGTGCCAGCTTGGAGCAGAGTATAAACTGTTTGGGACATACCAGTCCTTTTGAGTTCATGCCTCTTGATATAGTAATCTCTGAGGTAAAAGCAGCTGCATGTACCCTGCACACCTGTGTGTTAGGTTTATGTGCAATTCCTCCACTGCCTGCTCAGCTAACTGAGCTGTTCCAAGTGCAGCTCACCTCTCAGTGCATTTACAGGTAAATGTTGAGTATGTAGTGCAAATGATGTTAATTACTAAAATAGTTCAGTGTTCATTTGGCCTCTCAGTTTCAAGTTTACTGCACTGATTTGCCTTGTCAGATGGTTAGTTCCTTTCCACAGGATGTCTGCGTTGAAAAGGCAAGTTGCTCTGGTTCCTGCTCCTCTAGGAGGGGCTGTGGATACTGTTCCTATATGGAACAGTAACGTATGAGATGCATAGTTATTCTGTGCTCATATTTTGGTGAGGAAATTCATTCAGAACTTAGAAAATGTAATCTATTGATGATGAGCCTGACTGCTTTTCAGTGCTGTCCTTCCGAGTGCTGATATTTGCTGAGTCAGATTCAGACTGTGTAATGTGGTATCTAAGTGAGCAGTGTAAGGTAATGTAGTGTTTAGTTGGGACTGCTATTGGTTCTCTGTCTTTCAGAATGACTGCTGAATGAAAGGTCTTGTTATTGTGAGACCACTCTAGGAGCAGTACAGTGACCACAAGGTATTTTGAGGAGCAAAGGACAGTAGGGTATCTACGTTTTTTCTCATCTTTCATCTAAAGATCAATTTCTTCCTGACATTTGCTGTCTCTTACCCTGGAGTCCCCTCAAAATGCAAGCAGAAAATAATGGAGCAAAAAGGCTAATAGCTCAGCTGTAGAGAAATTTGTCCTCTGAAGACCAATAACAAAATCAAAACTATCTCTTTCTTCTGGTCCTGCCTTTGAGGTATGCAGGGAGAGTCATTAAAAAGTATAGTCTTTGGCCTTGTGCTCCTTGTGGGCAAATTTTATCCGAACCTGCATCCCTTGTGCTATCTGCTTTGCAGCTACATTGCTCTGTAACACTTTTAGTTTAGATATGCTTCTATAGTGATTCTGAGTGTGGATTTTGAGTCCACAAGTTATCTGAAGACACAATGTTCCATCTGTGTTGATCTCTCACAGCCTTCTGAAATAGTAATTTAAGTGTATATTTGTAAGTGACTTAGCGTGGCTGGCTTATTCTCCAAGTTCCAGCTTGGATACTTTTTGTTTAGTTCTTGAGCCTTGAGCCACTTGTCTTGGTTTGCCTATGTGGAGGCAAAATTACAACAGGTTTTGCTATTGGGGTCATCAAAATGAGGTCCCTAGATCAAAAGTTTGTTTCAGCAGCTCCTGTGTCCCCTCTGCTAATCCCTGTTTTTTTTTTTTTTTCTGCTGCTACCACAGACTGCACAGGTTGTAGAGTCATGCACTGAGCCAGACCAGGCAATAGTTCCGGTTAGAGTAACTTAGCAATAAAATTCCCTCTGTGAGGCCTCCCCTCGCCCCCAGCTAGGTAATTTCCTCTTCATCTTTCCAGGATTCAATTGTGAGCATATGCCTGACTTCTTTCTGGCAAGTCCCTGGATTTCTGTGATATGCTATTATTTGTCTTAGCTAGGGGAAGGGTATAGGTGGTCTAGGTTAACTAATTAGTGTTGAATTAGCTTGACAAAAATTTAGTCCCTGTTGCCTTCTGACTTCTAGGTAACCATCATCATACATGTGAGAGTAGAGCTCAAGTATTTCTTGCAGAGCTAGGCTTCTACAACTCTTTTAATTCTCCACAGAATAAGATTGCTTAATTGAGTTATTAATTCCCCAAGATTGTGGGAGGCTTCCTTCTTCAGTCTGCTTTTGCAGAGCATTGAATCAATCAAATGTAATTTGCCTGTGTTGAAAAACTGGAGTGCAAACATAATTTCATGGTTTCCGTCTATCAAAACCTGCCTTTTTAAAGCAGTTCCTTTTCTTAATTTGCATAGGATTGTTTTGGGGTTTGGTTTTGTTTGTTATTTTTGATCTATTTATCCTTCACCAGTTAGTTCTCACTCATCTCTACAGAAGACTGTCTCCCTTTCTGAACATATCTCTTTAGGGTTTTTCAGATCTAATCTGCCCCTCAATCAACAAGTAATATATCTGAGTTCCAAGGCAATCATTGAGTTTGGGTTGTTGAAGGCTGCTTAGTATCTTAAAAGAGTAAAACCAAACAATTTATCTCCATTTCTCAGGGTGTATTAACTTCTGAAATGTCTAAAGGAAAACTGGACTGTCAGATGTCACTATAAATTACATTGAAGTTAATCCTGTGGAAGAGGCTAGAGCCTGTCAAAGCCTGTATGAAAGTAATACTGATTGAATTTGGAATCTGGATTATTCATCCAGTTGCAAACCTTTAATGCCTTCTGAACTTCTGCTAAATTTCCTTTAACATGGCACTTCAATCAGTTTATTTTGTATATTCATTTTGCTGGCATCCAAGGGTTAGTGTACAGGTCATTCTGAAGGTCTGTTTAGACTGAGAGTTGCTTTTTTCCTCCTGTTTAATGACAGTAACTCCTATATCTTTCATCAGTACCTAGAATAACCTGTAGTAATAACCATAGCAAGCCTTGATGTCCTAGGCTATTCCTCTGAAATGTCACGTACAAGACCGGTAGATGTGAGCTGCATTGCTCAGGTCAGAATTGCTATATGGGACTCATAAGCTGTAACAGAATCACACAGAATCACACCATGGTTGGGGTTGGAAGGGACCTTTGAAGATTACCTAGTCCAGCCCCTCAACTGTTATTGGTGTTCCTCAGATAGAAAACAAACTCTGTATCTAACAAAACATATTTGTGATTCAATTCAGTGTCATTTTGTTGTTGCTGAGATTTTTTCAGCTGAGTTAATTTTTATTATATTCCACGTCAGAAAGCTACAATATCCTTCTTTGTAGAAAAACTATTTGGGCTATTCTGGTGAAGATCCTAGAGTTACATTCAAGTGTGTTCGATATAAAAGGATTTCTTTATTTTTAATGTGAGATGTTGCTGTGGACGGCTGATTGGAGATCACCCAGGAGTGGACTGTAGCTGGCCTGTTTATCAGGCTGCCCTACAGAGAGATCGTGGTGAATGGTCTGTGCAAAAACACACAAAGACAAGTCCAACGGATGCATTTGGTACAATCAATTTTCAAGATGGAGATCACACTTACCATGCCAAGGTAATAGTTGCTGGGTTTATATGTCCGACTTCTTTTTATGATTTCAGCATAAGAAAGGTAAAAGTGGTTTTGAGTGAATATCAGATTGTTTGTCTTAAGAGGGCAGGGGAATCTAAAAGTAAGTCAGGTTAGAGAGTGTGTATGATATTTTTACGTCGAACTTCATTGTGACTAAATGTAGTCTGTCCTGCTGTCTGTATTGCTCACTGATGTATTTTTGTGCTATCACATTAGCGGTATAGTGAAAGTTCTAATCCTGCACAAAATCTTTAAGATGTTAGTGCTCAGAACTTTGTAAGATATTGCAGTTTCTTCTTTTGGAGTATTAAAAGGGTGTTTATTTTACCTATGATTATTTCTTCCAGTATATAAGACTCTCTTATGATAGCAATTTGGATCAGCTGTTGCACCTGATGGTTAAAGAATGGCAGATGGAGTTGCCAAAGCTAGTGATCTCTGTTCATGGAGGCATTCAGAATTTCAAGCTTCACTCAAAGGTCAAGCAGGTTTTCAGCAAAGGATTGGTGAAGGCTGCTGAGACTACCGGAGCATGGATAATTACAGAAGGCATCAACAGCGGTAGCGTAATTGTTTTTCTTTCTTTCAGTCTTCCTCTGCTGTTCTTTCTCTGCCTATGAGCCTATACATTTAGGGCAAATGTAATGAAATTGTTTGATGATTTGTGGTATATTACACAAAATGAAGGTTTTATTAAGGAGCAATGCATAATTCAAAGAGTGACATCATGTACCTCTACTGTTGACAGGCATTATCAATATTTTTTTAAAAATTAAATAGCAAAGTATTCTGCATGTAATAAGAAACCCTGATACTAAATAACCAGAACTTATTTGCAGTCAATTTTACCTGCTTCATTAAAATATTTGGATTCTGAGGACTGTGATTGGAGTTTTTGAAACAGTTTTCAAATCTAAAGTTAACTTGTGTTTTGTAATTAAGAACATTTTGAATTAGGATAATCCATTAATTAGCCTATTAGTATCTGAAACTCCCTGTAGATGACTCTCAAAAACTGAGGGCATCAGTAAGCCACTGAACTGGAGTAGTTTTACTTCTTTGGCTTTTGTTCAATCTGGTGACCTTACAGGAGAACTGTTCTGTACATTTATGTAAATAATAATGTTTTATGGAGGTAGAAAGGGCCATCAGCAACTTATATGAGTATTATTAATTAGAAATACGAGTTGAGTTTGAAGCATTGGTGTATGATGTCTGAGCCTTACAATTCCTGCAGTGCATGTCAAATATACAAGTTGGGTGGGATGGTTTGTTTCTGGTTAAAACATAACCATAGAATAAATTAAATGATGGGAAACACTTTCATTGGCATCCTCTAGCAGGTCTCCGAATGCAGAAGAGAAATGATAATTTAATTATCTGTTTAGGAGTGGCCAGGCATGTGGGTGATGCGCTAAAAGGCCGTGCCTCACCACACCTGAGAAAGATCTGTGCTGTTGGGATTCCTCCATGGGGTATCATTGAGAACCAGAGGGATCTAATTGGAAAAGATGTGAGTTGGACACATTTTAATAATAAAAGCCTTGATGTTCAAGGAACGTTGCAGCCTTCTTGCATACCTTATTTTCTGCTTGCTTCATGTCACTGGTTTGTCACTGTCACTCAGTAATAGAGGCTTAGATTTTGCTCAGCAGTAGAATTCTGTGGCATGTTCAGGCACTGTATTTTGCTTTTTGTATGTAAATGAATAGTTTTAAAATATTTATCTTACAGGAAATTGCCATTCCTTTTTAAAATTTTGAAATTAATTAGGGAATTCTCTTGTGGTTGTAAATGATGTATTTTTGTAATCATGTGATTCAGGATAAGCAATCAGGTTGTTGGTATACACAAATGGGCTATTAAATGTGTGATTTTTATTCATAGACTAGAACTTTATGTGCCAATGTAAGGGCACAATCGGCATAACTGTCGAAAAAAACTGGACAAGTAAAGTGAAATCGTTCCTGATAAATGATAGCTTACATGTCTTTATTGGGAATACACCCAGGAAAAATATGCCATTGTGTTTCAACTGTTTCAAAGAAAGGCAAGCAGTGACTGTGACTAAGGACTGCAAGCCTAATCAGAAGTGATTTCTGTGGTATTAATTGTGGTTTTGTTGCTTTTAAGAATCAGATGAAAACCCACGTTTGAGTAGAGCAGAAAAAAGTGTGATAGAGGCTTTCAGAACATTACAATATAGTGAAGAAATACATACAAGTGAGGCAACTTAAATGATGATATTTTGTTGGTTTCTTTGAAGATCTTTTTATTTTGGTTTTCTTAGGTAGTTTGCCTGTACCAGACTCTTGGTAATCCACTCAGCAAGCTAAGTACCCTCAACAGCATGCATTCTCATTTTCTAATGGCAGATGATGGGACAGTAGGCAAGTATGGGAATGAAATGATGCTCAGGAGGAATTTTGAGAAGTACATATCACTTCAAAAAATACACACAAGTGAGTACTGCTGTGGTCGGCTTTATGACAGAAAAACCTGTCCTAAAAGTTGTGGAGGTACTTGACATTTCCTGTTACATGTTGTACGTCTTCATTTGCCATAGATTTCACTGAGCTTGAAAGTTATTAATTACATGTGTCTTGAACTCTGAATATCAGGAAAATGAAAAGGACAGCATTTTTATAAAGCATTATGCACGTGGGCTAATTCGTATTTTGGTTTCTCAGTTGTAGAGACATCTAAATTACTCGGATTATTTAGTAAGTATTGAGCATTTGCTCACTTTGCAGTTCTGTGGTGTCTATATCAACACTAGTTATTTTCCCAGTATTTTGCTAGCTGGAAAAATTGTCACATTCAGTGGAATTCAAATCCTTCTTCCCCTGTTCATTACTTTTAACCTCTTCGGTCTTCTATATTGCAAGCCTGTGACCTCCTCAGATGCAGGAACAAAGACTGGTTGCGAAAGGAATACCTTCATCCAGTGCTTGTTTGTCAGATTGTGTAACTTCCATTGTTTGCCTGTACAGTAACTGAGTTATGGTATAAAAATTGTGATTGAAATATTTATTACATAGACAAATATTTCTTTTTATGCACTAGATTGTATAAATTATTTGTGAAAGTTCACTCTTACCCAGTGATTTAAATATTGAGATATGTTAAAAAGACAGAAGGGTTATGGTGTTGAATCCAGACTTTTTGTTATTTTTCCATTTCTAGTGCATCTTATTTGAAATTTGTTTCTGATTACTAAAAAATCTACCCTGCTGCTGTAAAACTTGAGACAGTCTGTAAAGAAGTGCCTGGTTACTTTTCAGTGTGTGTAGGTAAACAAATGGATGTTGACCATGTTTCATATGCTGTCTGTGGTTTGGGTTTATGTGAGAGCTATTGTAAAGGGCAGATGGATATTCTGAAGGATGTTTTGTCCTTCCAATGCTAGGGCTGCTTACAATTTTATCAGGAAGTTTTCATGGTCTTTTTGATCTGGTTGCAGAAGTCCTGTGAAAGTCTTAAAAAGTTTAAATCAAATTAGAGATGGTGAAGGCACAATTTCCTCTCCATTGAACCACGTATGAGACTCCTTCATGAGTATTTAGCAGATGTACTGATTTTTTTGTGTGGCTGAGACCCGTTTGTAACTGCTTATGTGTGTTTTGAAACAGGAATGGGCCAAGGTGTACCCATAGTTGTGTTGGTGGTGGAAGGAGGCCCCAACGTGATCCTAATGGTGTGGGAGTACGTGAGGACCAGCCCAGCTGTCCCCGTGGTGGTCTATGAGGGTACTGGCAGAGCTGCAGATATCTTGGCTTTTACCCACAAACACACAGGTGATACAGGGTAAGTAGTGGCATAATGCTCCTCTTCCTTGGTCTGTCATATTGGGAGGGACCTGAAAACACCTGTCTCAAAACCGCTGAGATAATTTCTAATGCTTCTAGTAATGACTCTGCCATGGTCTTTTGCTGGCTTTTACTTCTGTGAAGTAAGAGCAGTTTCTTCATTCTCTGCCTCAAACTAGTGCTGAAAGAATTATTCTCCCAAATTTACTATAGCTTTTTGGAAAGGGAAAAAGAAACTGCATCTAGCTATTTTGAGTTACTACAATGTTCTTTACCTTTGGCGAGGGACACTGCTGGGTGACCCCAGAGTGCCTGATTGGGTTTTGACTCAGTCCTTTCTCTTGCTGTCAGTATTCTGTAAGTGGGCTTGGATTTGTGTTGCAAAAGGCTTTTGAGACTAGGACTGGGGTTAGTTGCTGTAGGAGCCTCAGGCTGGGATAGGAGTAGGACTAAAGTTCCTTGGCTTTGGCTTTGGTTTACCCAGTGATAACCCAGATTTCTCATCCTCATTTAGCTGTAACTCTTTATTTCACCTCCGATGCAACCTCAGATGCAGACTCTATTAAACCTACCTTGACGCAAGTTTAGATCCAAATTGGAAATAAATATGTATATATATATTTGTATAGCCAAATAATATTTTCGTAAAAATTTTTCAAAGTCAAAAGGGCTTTTTAAATAAAAAACTAAATTTTAAAAAGGTAACCTGGGTTCATGCCAAATAAAAAAAATGAACAATTTAGTAAACTTTATATCCTAATTGTTTATTTATTATCTTTTCTAAATATTCTTTTGGGGGGATGTTGTATTTTTCCCTACTGTGTTGTATTGAAAACTTTTTTCTTCACTTGCCTTTTCTTCCATATTTTTGATCTTTTAAAAAGAATATCCCACCATTTCAAAAGAAAAGGAAAATATATATGGAAAGGTTAACAGAAAGATAAATGAAGGGAAAAAAGGTGGGAGAAGTGTGAACAAATAATAAGGAATTTAATTTTATCTCTGTATGGTTATTGAAAGAAAGAAAAAGTTTGCTAAACTTGTAGCTCTGTATTCACAGAAAATCGTTTGAAAATTGTTAACTTTTTCGTTTGTTCTTTTTCCGATAGTATATATGCATTGTCAGAACTAATGCCTGTGCAAATAATAGTTTATGTTATGGGATGCCTTTGCTTTGTTTTGTTGAAAGAAGGTAGGAATGAGGTCACAGAGAAGTAGAAATAAAAGAGATTACTCATATGTCTCTACTTAGCACAATTCTAATCTTTTGCTGAGGTGTCATTTGGGCTGGTAAGAAGCAGCTAAATATATACTCACTCCTATATCTCTTTTTCAGGGAGCTGCGCCCTCAAGTGAAGGAGGAAGTCTTAGCAATGATTCAAAACACATTTAGCTTGGGACAGAAACAGTCCGGTCATCTATTTCACATTTTGATGGAATGCATGAAGCACAGAGAGTCTGTAAGTGGGGTTCGTGCTCTGAGTTTAGGACATCTTCATTTGCTGTTACCCTTTTTTGCTTCTTCTGTAGTGGGTTGGTGTGGGCACAACAGTTTTAGAAGTTATAGTGTTATCTCTAGTATCAAATAACACAAAGGTGTCTGTGCTAATTTATATATCAAGTAGCTCCACAGAGTCAGTTTAGTTAACTTCTCAAGTCTCGATGGTTGCTTATGAAATGACAGCCTTTCTGATTTTAGTAAAAGACAAAACATCTTTGTTTTTGCAGGAAAGGTCAAGTAATTCCTACTTTTTTTTCTTCTCTAGTGCTGTCTTATTTGTAATTTAGAAATGTTTCCATCTGTTCTTCTACTCTACCAGAATTGTGCTAGAACTTGTCTCTGAATATTGAAATCTATTTTCAAAATGTGCTGGTTTGATTAGTGGCTCAGGTGCTCATTTGTGAGTAGAATTATAGAATGGTTTTGGTTGGAAGGGACCTTAAAGATCCTCTAGTTCTAACCCCCCTGCCATGGGCAGGGGCAGCTACGACTAGACCA